AAATTTATCTAATTCTCAAAACCCAAAAATAAAGAAAAGTCAAACTTACTTTTCTTTTCCTTTTGAATCATGGCCGGCTGCACTCTTCTTCTTTTTTTCTTTTTTTTTTTTTTACCGTCAGTGGCCCGTTGAAAAGTCTCCTCCATTAATTTTCAAAACAAATCCCAAAAAATAAAGGACACTTTGAAAATTAAAGGATTAACTTTCACTTTACCTTCATCATCTTCTCGGGCCAACCTTTTCACTTGCAGCCGACTCTTCCATTTTTGCCTTGCTTTAAACCACCTGCAGTTGCTGCTTGATCTTTGTTTTCTTCACCCAGATCTACTGCCAACTGCACTCTCTTCTTTTGCTTGTCCAGATCTGCTCCATTCAGTGGTCCCCCCGGCAACTCTTCTTGCCCCACAGGTACTTGTTGACTGTTATTTTCATTTATTTGCAAAGATTTACTTTGCTTGTGCCCCATGGACCCTACCGAGATTTTCCTTGTCCATGTGATTGCCGGCTGAATTATTTTTTACTTCTTTGTGTATGCAGATCTGCCTAGCTTGTGCCTTCCCTTGCCAAAATCATCCCCATGGCTCATGACCGAGAAGAGCAAACCATGCCCACCGGATCTGCTTCCATGGCCGGTTCAAAGGCCACTCCTTGCTTGAGGTCACCTCCCCCAAATTTAATTGAAATCTTTCAAAATCGTAACCTTCAAGATGATATAAACAGGGTACTCCAAAAACAGAAACCATGCCATTCAAGCCAAACTTTTGTTCCTCATAGAAAATCTCAGATTTTGGGCCCTTATTTTGTGTCTCATCCGCTGTTCTGGCCCCTCCACAACTCACCAAAAAATCTGAGGGGAAGAATGTTGTAAAAGAGAATGAGGACCTGGAATCTGCCATGGCCGCCCAGATCAGCCAGCCAGATCTGCCAGGGAGAGCTCCCAAACTTCAAGTCAAAAGGAAATTTGTTGCTCCTGCAGATTCCACAGAAGAGGATACCCCCTCCAAACAGCGAAGAACAGGAGGTAAATCCACTTTGGCTTGCAACTTTGTGACATGTTTTCTGCTAACACTCACACTCTTTTTTTTTTTCTTAGGAATTAAGAGGCCAGCAGTGAAACCTGCAGCCGCCAAAAAGCTCATCAAATCTGCCTCCCCATCAGAATCCACTTCTGCCATGGAAACCCAGATTCCTCCTAACAAAACAGAAGATGTTTCTCCCAAGCTAGACCAAGTTGAAGAAAACATTGCTGCAAGTGATGAAGGTGATTCTGCCACCATCCCTACGAAATCTGGCAACGGTTCTTCTCCAGCCACAAAGGTTAGGGGTTCTAGATTTTCTTCACGCATAGCAAACAAAAACTTTAGAACAGTTAGACCGAATGAACTCATCGATCTAAGCCCAGACAAAGAGAATACCCCTACACCTGTAGCTTCTCCTGCTAGGCATGTTCATGTTGATGACTTTGAGGTTGTTTTACTGTTCTGAAATCTGCCTAGATCTTGAAATCTGTCACCACATCTGCCAGTTGCCATTTTTGATCTTTCGTCTTTGCATTTTATAGAGTGTTGCTGTTGATGTGCCCATGATTGATGATGATTTGGAGAACGAACTCCTTGCCCAGCTGGATATGTTGATGGATGCTCCGGCTAAATCTGGATCTGCCACAGATAGTAAAGGGAAGGCAGTTGCTGAGGAAGTGGAATTTGACACCAACCTTCCTACTCAGGAGCAGATTAGTTTTGCGATCATGACCTTGCAGGAGCTCCTTGGTGGTGATCCTTCCCATTTCTGCAAGGTGCCGGACCAGCCAGCCGCCTTTGAAGCGGCTCAAATCCTTAGCCGAGCTCCACAGTTATCATCATCTCAACAAAAATTCTGGGCAGACTTCACCTCCATTTATACGCACTTCAGCAGAAAATTCCGGGTGCTTGAAAGCAAAGTAGCGGCTGCAGATTCTGTCAGGAAGTCTGTAGCGGATAGCACTGCCGCTGTCTTGAAGAAGAAAGAAGAATTCTTGGCAGCCAAGGAGGCTCATGTCACGCAAGTTACCCATGTCCAAGGGCTTAAAGAAAAAAATCTCTAACCTTGAAGCCGAGCTTTCGGAGTTAAGAAACCAAGTCCCTCTTGCGGAGCAATCTGAAAAGAGTTTGGCAGAACAGAGAAACAAACTCCGCATGGACATGGAAGTTGGATTGAAATCTACTGCCAAGATCAAGGAGCAACTACCTTCTTTCACAGCCTCTGCAGATGAAGCCGCCGAAGAGATAAAGAACATGAGAGAAGAATGGAGTTCATGGCAAAATAACCTTAGTTGATTTTTCTCTTATGTATCTTCTTGTCTC